GAAATTATCATCATTCTTGATTTCATATGAAGAGAAATTATCATCATTCTTGATTTCATATGAAGAGAAATTATCATCATTCTTGATTTCATATGAAGAGAAATTATCATCATTCTTGATTTCATATGAAGAGAAATTATCATCATTCTTGATTTCATATGAAGAGAAATTATCATCATTCTTGATTTCATATGAAGAGAAATTATCATCATTCTTGATTTCATATGAAGAGAAATTATCAACAGAGGTCGTTAGTAAGACCCAATTTAGAGTGGCACAATTATTCTATACATAATGTTGTACATTCTTATGTCTCCGCTATAAAGTTAATCGGCAGTTTCAGAAATCTTTCCAGTGATCTAGCATTTATATTGAATTCCTGCTTTTCTCGGCACTCATGGCTTCTTGAGTCCTGAAGTCACTCATGCGGAAATGTTCCCTCCATTACAAAGTGGAGAGCGAAACGTTGCCACAGCAATAAAATGCCACATCAATTGCATCTGTGTCCTGTTACCGACTAAGTTGACAGGTAAGACACATGTGCAACACTAGGAGTCTTTAAAAACGAAACATTTCTCCTGCGCTGCAGGCTTCATTAATCTAAAACAGACAAGATACACAATCCTGGAGACATCAGCTCAAACGGAAGACGAACTAAACAAAGTGTAAAGGAAGTTTAGGACAGTTTACATCAAATTGCCTCTCTACTCCATCGGGATGTGGAGAAGAATTCTTCCTCCTTAAGCCGTGCGTGTCGTATGAGGAGACTAAAATGCCTAAATCCCTTTTCCCTGTATAAATTATTAAATGTACAAAGAAGAAAGGCTTTTTTTCCTTCTTTCTCGGGTAACCTGCCTCGGTGGGAGACGGCCAGTGTGTTTAAATTATACGTCTCTACATCGTCCACTTTGTCTTCCATCAGGGCTAAAATCTCCTGATGTATCATCTTTGTATTCGACTGATGAATCCTGCAGGAGAGGCGAAACGTTTCCTCAGTAAATGTCTTGAACTTAGTGTATGTACTTGTGTCTACAAACTGTTGGTACCACCATACCTTTCCAGTCAGTCAGGGCCAGTAGGCCTACTGCAGTGTTACCTAACTACCTGGTACCCAGGTAACCTCCGCTATGGTCCCAGGACAGAAACGTTTCCATTAAGTATGTCCTAAAGTGATTACATTCTGTGCTTTTTCCACTGGGAGTGGGTGGGTGAAGCCTCCCATGGTTAACTAAGTCTACTGAAGTGCTTCTTCATTCACGGGGGGAGTTGAATGATAGTTCTAGGCCTTTCATGTTGCAGTAAACACGAGCAATGTTGCAACATTGCAAACGCTTGATATGTTGATTGCAACAACGAAAGGCCTAGAGCTATCATTCAACTCTCCCTGTGGTTGTTTTGCATCTTGTATCTCTTGTTCGCGAATTTTGCAAATTTTGCATAATTATATATATATATATATATATATATATATATATATATATATATATATATATATATATATATATATATATATATATGTATTATTGCAACCACGAACAAGTGGTATTTAATCAATAACAACACTGCGACTCGCCGAGTATTCGAACCGGTGTTGTTTTAGCCCGGATCATGGTGAGCGAAAATTCCACGACTCTCTAACCCACGGAACCATACAATCATTGGTAGGACTGTATGGTCCCGTGGGTTCGAGTCTCGTGGAATTTTCCCTCACCATGAGAAGGGCTAAAACAACCCGGGTTCGAATCCTCGGCTAGTCGCAGTGTTGTTATTGATTAAATACCATATATATATATATATATATATATATATATATATATATATATATATATATATATATATATATATATATATATATATTAGTTATATATGTCGTCCAAATAGGTAAAACTTGCGATTTTGTCTTAAATAGTAACGCTCTTCTTGCCGAATGAGGCAAACAAAAATTTGTGTATGCAATAATTTCGCAAAACTCATTCTGAAACTAACGAGAAATTTATATTTCATTGTGTCTGTTTATTATAAAATTAGCTTTAACTTATCTAAAATATGTTTAGTTGAATTAAGCTAAATTAAATTGCGCTTGTTATAATAAAGTTAGGTAAGTTTTCTAAGGTGCTTTTGGCACAAAATTATTAATTTTTAGATTAAAGATATATTTTTTCATTTATGTTAAAGGTATAACAGAAAACTTTAGAAATGACTTAATTTTAATGAACTCTTGCTAATTAATGCTTGCTAAATTAAACTTGCTTATTAAACCAACAAACTGACTGAAGAAGGAAGGGACTCTGGGAGGAAACACGAAAAATGGAATAAAAAATAAGAGTAAGGGATAAAACTGAAAAAAAAAGTTAGAGAAAGAGAGAGAGAGAGAGATAGAGATGAAAACAAAGTAAGGGAAGAAAGAAAAAGAAATGTAACAAATATTGGAAAGGGTATCGGGGAAAAGAATAAATAAATAAGAGACATTAATAGAGGCAAAATGTGAAAATACGGGAATGGATAGGGATACAGAAGAAACGTAAGATAAAGGCATTTAAAGAAAAGCACGAATGAAAATAAATAAATAAAAGACGGAAATGAGTAAGTACAGACAAACGAAAAAAAGAAACTTAAAACCGAGGGAAGGAAGGAGGAGCATAAGAGAGAAAGGGAAGGAGAAGGGAAAGTGATAAAATACAGCGAACATCCCACAGATTAAACAAGAGATAGCCACAATGGGAGGGGAAGATAGCGAGTGTCCTCAGGACGCGCAGGAAACACTTTAATGTTCCGAGGAATGAGTGAGTTGGTGTCGTGAGAGTGAACGTGAGGGAGTAAGGTATCCCTGAGTGGGAAGCGATGGAAGGGGGGAATGGAAGGGGAAAGGAGAGCGTCTCAAGAGAGAGATAGAAGGAAGCGGTAAATGTCACGGTGTTATGAATGCGAGAGGGAGGGTAATAAATGTCTGAAACAGGCGGACTGAACGAGCAGTTGCCGGAGAGAGAGAGAGAGAGAGAGAGAGAGAGAGAGAGAGAGAGAGAGAGAGAGAGAGAGAATGGTCATTGTTATTTACAGGGAAGCGCTAAACCCGTAGGGGTTATGCAGGCGCCTGGGAAACAAGAGGAAAGGAAGCTGAAATTCGGTCCAATTCCTTGGATCAAGAGCCCTTCATTAACGTCAAGGAACTTCTCTTGAAGAGGGATGTACAGGGAGAGAGAGAGAGAAGGGCTTTTGTAGTGGGACGAAGTGTGCGATGGTGTATAATGGAAGAGGGGGTTATTGTGGTGGCATCGTGGCAGTGGTGGTGGTCCAGTGGGAGAGGGGTAGTGGTTGCATTCCAGAAAATGTGTGTATGGGGGTAGAGGTAGTGGTGGCGAGGGAGGGGGTCAGAAGTGGCGGCGTTCCACCAAGCGATGATGATGGCTAAGAGAGTAGTGATGGTGGTGGTGGTGATCGAAGGTATGGGTAGGGATGGACGGAGCAGTAAATATCAGTGACCTAGTTGGTTAATTAATGTTGAAGGCAGTGGCGTTCCATAGGGTTAGTTGCTGGTGGCTGTTGCATTCCGGGCAGCAGAGGTGGGGGCGATGTCAGTGACATGTTTTATTCTGAAATTTAAACCAATGTGGAAATATTCACGCTGACAGAAACCACCCCTGCGGCCCGATCTGGGACCGAGCCGCGAGGGCGGTGATTTAAACCAATGACAAGACAGGTCTCTCTCTCCATGGACTTGTGAGCAGTAGTCACTTTGTATCTTCCCCACCTCGTGATGGTGACCCAGTCTAAGAAATTATTAGTGATGACTAGAGTGGATCTCAGAGTAGAGATTGATGTCTGGTAAACTCACACTGAGGTAGACCACCTCAGTGTGAGCTGAGGTATTCACCTGGGATGCACACTTTACAGTGTATGCCCTGATTATTATAATCAAGGGGAAAATGCTAAACTGTATTCCCTGTGATATGCACCTCAGTGTATGTATATATTGAGAGATGCACCTTAGTGTATATATATATATATATATATATATATAATATATATATACTGATATATACACTTCAGTGTATATACTCTGAGATACATACCTCCCAGTGTATATGCACTATTACATATACACCTCTCATTGTATATACACTTTAGAGTGAGTAGTGTTGACTCAAAGGCAGCCACAGTATTGTTAAGCAGGTACCCACGGTGTGATAAAGCAGGTACCCACGGTGTGATTAAGCAGGTACCCACGGTGTGGTAAAGCAGGTACCCATGGTGTGGTAAAGCAGGTACCCACGGTGTGGTTAAGCAGGTACCCACGGTGTGGTTAAGCAGGCACCCACGGTGTGGTTAAGCAGGTACCCACGGTGTGGTTAAGCAGGTACCCACGGTGTGGTTAAGCAGGTACCCACGGTGTGGTTAAGCAGGTACCCACGATCTGGTTAATCTACCACAGCGTCTCAATACCAGAGGTCCCGGTGTATATTTTTCCCTTTATTTTTTCAGTTTAAATCAACTTTAGTATTATAAATATATATTTTTTCATTTTTTTTTGTATATTTTTATTTTTACTTTTCAAAATTATTTTAAGTATAAAATTCCCTGTTCTGTAGAATTTATAAGAAATATTAACCACATATTAGACGTAAAATGATTTTTTTTCTCCCTTTAAATTCCAAAATGTTTCAACAATTTTCTTATATTCAAGGTACACAATTTTTCAATTTCTATCCGTGATTGATAGTTTAAATTAGCAAGATCCAGTTTATTGAGTCGACAATACCAATAATTTTCGTCTTAAGGTAATTCCCTCCCCCCCCCCCATCTGATAATTAGTGAAAAAATTATTTGAAAAAGTTGTAATATAATTTTTATATTTTTATGTGAAATTTTCTTTGTTTTCATTATTGTTTATAATGCTGAATATCTGTAGAGATTACATTACATGTTAAATAATTATTCTCTCAATGCAATTAGTACACAACACCTGATAAGACATGATTTAATTTTCAGTTCAAGGTCGTAAAAATAGACATGTGTAACAAATCATCCTTTTATTTTTGTCATTATTTGATTTTATAAAAATACCCGTTATTACTCATGACTTGAGCTCAATATAACAGCTAATATTATCACACTTTGGCCAGGGATATCACGATTTATACATAAAAGAGTTATTTATATTACATTATGTACAAGTTCAGACAGCAAATGGGTATGAGTGCACTACACAAGCTACAGGTAAGAGGATCAGCCAGGTTGCTACAGCAAAGGCCGGGTTGTGAAGGCACTAGACCACCTCCCACTCTAGTGTTGACTAGACACAAACATATGACGTTCGCTCTCTTTTTTTTCTCTCTCTTTGCTTTCCTACGCTACACACTTCTCTCGTCCTCGCGGAATCACAGTCAACAAGGGGTCTCTAACACGCACCTTAACAATAAGATATAATATATATATATATATGTAATTTCAAGGAATTTAATGTATATTTATATGAAATAGGACGCACTGACTGCTGGCTGGTCGAATGTTTGTAAGGTGGTACCAGAGAGGGGCCGTCGCTGTTGACTACTACAGTGCAGCTCCTGAGGGAGATACTGGCGTCGCTCCAGCTGTTGCTGCTGCTGTCGGAGGTGGTGGTGGAGGGTGTGCACCGACGGCAGCGTGGACGGCGGCAGCGCCGGCGTCGTCTCGTCGATAGAGGCGTAGATGTGAGAATTACGGGCGGCGGCATAGTCGATGGACATGTAAGAGTGGTTGAGACTAGGGGCGAGGCTGGACTGGGCAGTCTCCACGCTGACGAAGGTCTTGTCGAGCTCACCTGGGTCACTGTTTATGGACGGCTGTGTCTGGTGGTAATGGTGTTGCTGATGGTAATGAGAGACTGGGGTCTTGATTGCGTTAGTGAGCACCATACTGGGTACCAGCTGACCCTGTTTATTGAGGGTGTGGGATGGGGTCAAAACAGGCACACTGTTTCTCATGATGTAGTTGGTGTCAGTGATGTAGCACTGCTGGTTCTTATTGCCCCCGCCTGGCAGAGCAGCGTGCAGCTTGCTCCAGAAGGACTTGTCGTCGTATTTAAGCTTAGTGGCACTTTTCACAATGGCTGCGAGGTCAGAGTCCATGTCACTCTCGCTCACTTCACCACACATTACGGCAATCACACGATTTTTAAGGCTTTTCAGTGCCTCCAAATGAGCCGCTTTAAAGGAAAATTTACACCAGTCATGATCAACAAAGTTTTTAGTAAGGACTAGAATGATCTTCTGACTCGACTCTATAGAATGAACAATAAAATCCCCCACATATGTACCAACAGTCTGATAGTCTCTGGAGGCAAGGCACAATTTATAGGAGGGGTCACCGTTCTCAAGTTCTGAGGCGAACACTTCCGTGACAAACGGAGCGTCCATTTCGCTATAGCTGACGAAGGCGTCGTAGATGATGTTCCTCTCTTCCTCCTTGGCTGGTGCAGGTTGCGAGGGAAAGCACTTCAAGCCACACTTTTTAGAGACACTAGCTTGCAGGCGCACCCTGAACACAGCGAACACTACGCCAAGCACCAACACGACGAAGAAGATGCCGAGTGTGATCAACACCGGCTGCAGGAAGTCGTTTTCCAATTTCTCTTGCACAATGGACGTTGCCACGAAGTTCTCACAGGAGTACGAGCTCTCCAGGACATAGGGACCAGGGTCACCTGACGCATTGGAGACACAAAATATCGTCTTGGCATCCTTGACTACGTCAGTTTCACGGATGAGCCAGTTCTTGAAGTCAACCATGTACTGGCAGTGGCACGACCATAGGTTGACACCAAGAGTTATGTCTTTCAGGCCCTTGTTGAGTTTCAAGTGCCAAACAGGAAAATCAAACAGAAAATTTCCGTCAAGTCTGATGACTTCAAGTGATTTTAACCCCGCGAAAGTTGCATTATTAATCACCTTCAGCCGATTATTTTGGAGGTACAGCTCACGAAGATGCTCAAGATGTTCGAACTCATAGCCCTCGAGTTCAACCAACATGTTGTCGTGAAGATGTAGCTGTTTTAGAGACGAAAGACCGTGGAAAGTCCTGTTCTGGATTCTTTCAATACGGGAACTATTGAGATAGAGAGCCATCATGTTCTTACGGCCGATGAGCTGGTGGGCATCGAGGACAGGCATCTCGTTATTGTCCATGAACACGACCGTAGCGTCCATGGGGATGTCGTCAGGGAGTTGGTGATGATTTCGGGCAGAACAGTCGACAATGTTGGTTGCCCACGTCTCATCATGGTAGCATGAACAGCCTTGAGGACACGTCATTTGGCAGTCACAAGCAATAAAATCACAGCACTGACAAAGAGCAAAACAGTGGGAGGTGTAAGGGCAAAGGAACTGAGAAGGCTGAGTCTCCAGAAATGGAACCCGGTTCTCCTCAGATCGCGGGTAAGGAAGCGTGCAAATCACCTTGTCGAGGTCCATAACTCTTGGGTGTTGCCTCAGCCCACTGATCTGGTGCACACGGTGCATCCACTCCATGTTGCAGTCACAGAAGATGGGGTTGCCACCGATGTAGAACTCTGGAAGGTCACGGTCGCCGGGAACAGGGGGAAGGCTGATGGAATTAAGGTCAAGTTTACTGAGAAGGTTATCAAACAAATCCACCATGGAAAGGTTATTCTTCTCAGCAAATGTGCCAGCACCAATGCGTGTAATTCTGTTGCTATTAACAAACAACAGTTCAACACTATTTGGCACCGAAGCACCAATCAAAGTTTCTAATTGATTATGACTCGCATCAAGGGTCCGCAGTTCTAATTTGCCCTCCAGACTGAAATAATTACCTAAATCACCAATTCGGTTATTGTGAAGGTCGAGGTACTGGAGCTGATTAGGAATAAGAGCATAATCGAACCAGGTTATTCTGTTGTCAGACACATTGAGCCACAGTAAATTTGGTAGAGATGCAAATAACCCGTTAATGTCACTCATCTTGTTACCGTCCATCCTCAGTAGCTTGAGACCAGTGTTGGTGTCAAACACTCCGTGGGGCACAGACCCCAACTCGTTCCGGGAAAGATCAAGAACTTCTAGGTCTGTCAGGCCAGCCAGACAACTCTTACATAACCCTCGCAAAAGGTTATTGGACAAGTCGAGATGACGGAGTACTGAGAGGCTGGTGAGGTCATCTTGCATCACGCTGGCTAGCTGGTTGTGGCTTATTCTGAGAGTTCGCAGCGACACAGCCTCACGCACGGCCTCTGGGATCTCACGAAGGAAGTTGTACTCTAGTCGGAGATCGCGGAGGTTAGTGCAGTTGTCGAAGGCCTCGGACGCGATTTTGGAGATGTTGTTATGAGAGACGGAGAGAGATGACAACACATGCAAACCAGAGAGGCTGCGTGTCTCGACAACCAAAAGATGGTTGTAGCTCAGATCCAATCGGTGAAGATTGGCAAGCGGGGAAAAAGTCATGTCACTCACTACGGTCAAGTCGTTATGGCTCAGGTCGAGTACCTGCAGTGTTGACAGGTCACGGAACATGTCAAGAGTGACCTGTGTGAGGCGGTTGTTGCTGAGGCTGAGCACCACCAGCCGCAGGAGACCTCGGAAGGTATCCCCCGTCACCCATTCCGACGTGAGCTGGTTGTGTGACATATCCAAGACTGTGAGCTGACTCAGGGCCGAGAAGAGCCCCGGAGCAAGCACACTCACACTGTTGTTCTGTATGTAGAGCTCCGTCAGGCCCAAGGTTTCGTTGAACACCTCCGGTGGGAGCGCCACCAACCGGTTGCTGGAAATATTGAGCACATTGAGGGAGGTGAGCCCCAGGAAGGCGCCGTCGGCCAGCATGGAGACGTCGTTGTATTGGAGATACAACTCCCGAAGCGACTGCAGCCCGGCCAAGCCAGACTCAGGCAACACAACCAGGTCGTTGCCAGAGAGATCGAGAGTGACTAGGTGTGCCCCGCAGCCCCCGGTCACGCCTACCTCAGACACATCCTGAAGGCGGTTTCCAGTAACGTTGAGATGACGAAGTGCAGGCAAGGGGCAGAACACACGCTCGGGCAAATTCCAGATGTTGTTTTGGCCCAAGTCGAGTCGTTCCAGGTGGGGCATGCCGACCAGACTGTCGGGAGTCAGTTCCAAAGCCATAGCGCTCCAGTCACTGTTGTGGGTCCTCACTGTTAGTCGCTTCATGGCATCCAGGCCCAGGAAGGCTCCAGGAGGAAGGTTTGTCAGCTTGCAGAACTCGATAACAATGGTATCCAGGTTGTAAAGGCGCTGGAACATCCGCGGCTGGAGGGAGGACTGGAAGAATAACACATCACTGCAGAGGATTTCCAGCTCAGAAATATGCTCACTTTGCGAAATCGTAAAGTTACTACCAGATATATCACTGCCAATGGTCCTCAGACTGCAGGAAAGAGCCACTTCCTCCCGCTCAGAGTCGCGCAATGTCCACTCACAGTTTTCGGGAGCATTGTACACAAATGCCACAGAACGTGCTACAAAAACACTTGCAAACACGTATAATGCCACAGTAAACATCATTTTGATGGTGGGTGATGGGCTGCACATGTGCACAAGGGTTCGTGTAAGTTTTATCTTAGTACAGCTGGGTCATGTCAGCAGACGTGACGAGTGACCACGGGAGTGAAGTGGTACATCCTCCCTCCGACAGCGCGAGATATAAACTAACCGCGGGACCACACTACCGCCCATACTTGTAACTTGGCCCGCGACCCGCGAGGCTGCCACCTCGCGCTAACCAGCCCAACTCCCCAGCCAACTTCAGCGCGAGTTGCGGCCCCAAAATTCCTTAACTTTGATTCCAATGCAATGCTTTGCGTCTATCCCTTCTCCTTTTTGATGAATACGATGGGTTTTCTTTTTACTCTTTCGGGAAAGACATAAAATAAGGTATTGTTAGTTGCAAGGCGAGCCACCAGAGTGCACCACCAGTCGAGAGGACGAGGGTCAAGGGGAGGAGCATAACACAGACTTGGTCCTGCCAAGACCAACGCTTTTTGTCTTCTAGGAAAAATTTCCCCAGACTTTGAGGATATAAACTTCTTTATCATAAGCAGATATTCTTTTTTTTTTTGAAGATGTTATCTAAGACTTTTGCACGAAAACAACAGCGATGTTAAGAGTGAATGTAATGTACTTGAAAAGACAGGACAAAGTAAATCTAACTGCTTTCCTTGCTGTTATTTTGCTGTTGTTCCATCTCCATAACAGCACTATGAAGTGAATTTCCAGCGCACTCCACGAGTTTACATAATATTAAGGTAAATGTTAATGAGATGCAAATAATATTGACGAAACTGAAAGGCGGAGCTGGTAAGTCTGTTGAGGCCCTGGGCACGGGATACCCAGTGTACCTTCTCCTCATATTTAAGCTGAAATAACTCTATATACCGGGATGAGCTATCATCCTTGATTGTCCACATAGCAGAACACAACGAAGAACCCAGAGCGGTAGTTCAGTCATCGAAAGAGTCTCTGCATAAATAAAATTATTTAAAAATATGGAGAGTGTTGAGTGGCAGACTGGTGGATGGGCGGTGTAGAGGCGGTCCCTTGAGAATCTTACTCCTCCCTTCATCAGCCTCTGACTCCCTTCTCCCTCATTCGCCATACCCGATACTCTGACCACTCAGTTGTGGTCGCTGGCCGTGGTAGCGCAGGTGACCGACTTTTCAGCGCATGTGGAGAGTGATTAAAAAATATACCAACACATTTATCAGTTTGGTGTGATTTCAGCTATCCATGAAAGAATTTTTTTATTTGATTAAAAAAAAATAGATTGCATAAATGCATCAGAGAGAGACAACATTCTGTGTTTGTCTTAAGGCCTACAGATTTTTTTTTCAACTGTCTGTTATGATTTCAGGAGCTACAACGCGTACACAAAAATTCTCGAGGTTCTCCGAGTTTCTCTTTACGTATTGGAAATGATGAGACACGAAGTCAAGTATTCATCAAGTATTTCTTTTATTTCTATTAGTATGCGATTTGTTGTGAAACAAACTTATAATAATACACTTGAATTATTCTTTCTTAAAGCATCATTTTTGTAACACCCCCACCAAGGGGACCAACACCGGGTCACCACCAGGAAAAGACCCGGGCCAGGACAAGACTGGCGAACCTTCTACAATACAATCTTTGTAACAATTTCTGAATAAGGAAAAATGCGAGATTTTTTCCGAACTCAAAATATTTTAAATTTTGTTTTTGTTGTTCTAGCATGACTTAGCCTGAAGATCGATAACCCTCAATAATAACATGAACGTGTATATGTACATTTACGGAGGAACGTGCATTTTAAACAATCTGAAGGATGTAGCAGCTTAGGCCTGGTTCATCTGGTAGCTTTGTATATACACAGACGATGAAGAAGATTGGTCGAAAGGCTAATAACCCAAGATAATCCAGGCAAGACAAGCAGTGCAGCTTAGTTCAGTCGAGGACCAAGGGTAAAGCCGTAAGATGCATCTTGCATCAGTCGACTCACCCTGAGGTATGTACTGACCACGTACAGGAGCAGTAGATTTTACGAGACATATCTCGCACTACAAGGGATTGAACCCCAGGTTCTTTTTGGTTATGAGCCAAACGTTCTACCACTAAGCTACAGGGTAGCGGTGGTAGTTTATTCATCAGGAAATAATGCAATATCTTCTGACCCGGGTCTTAGTCAGCTGATGACTCGTTCAGAGGACCAGCATCCCGCTGGCCTATCCTAGCAAGGTTTTACAACCATTTATCGGCGAGGGGCTCTTTGTCAAAGGAATTGGCCTAACCTCCCTTTCCATGGATTGATCCTGGTTGCCTCCCATTTCTTCAGGACCTGTACGACCCCTACTGTTTAGCGGTCCCTCATAAAAGTAATAAAAAAATAATGAAGAGTGTACACTCAGCTTTTCTGTAACGTTTATAACTGTCTATTTATTAAATTATTATTATAATCAAAAAGAAGCGCTAAGCCACAAGGACTATACAGCACAATATCCTAAGTGATACTTCAAGGTGCAGTATCTTTTTCATGGAAAAATATAATATAAACTTTATGCAGATGAACTATACGTAATAGCCAATATTACATATACACAAAATGGTTCCAGATTAGACTTGTTATAGTCATACACAAAAGATTAATGATACGGGTTTAACTTATTTAATAGGATATCCCACAAAATTCATAAAAGTTTTCTTGTTGCAGATTAAAGAACGACAAACTTGAAAATAGTTTTGTGTGTATCTTAATGTACTCTCACTAACTCTTGGAGATTCTAGTTTGTGTACCCATATGATCTTGATACACAGGATGGATGAGATATACGATAAAGTAGTCAACAGGATAGATATGGGGGTGCACAGTAAATTAGTCGCTACCGTGAACAGAATATAAATATGAGGTACAAATGAAACTAACCACTACCATCCACAGGATATATATATGTATATAATATAATAATATATATATATATAATAATGTGTGTGTGTATATATGTATATATATGTGTG